ATTTGAGGAGAAAATAATATGGGTGGTGCCGAGATTATGGAGAGTTTTAAAGGAAAGGAGTTTTTGCTGCATGTTGAAGTGCAGGGGAAGCCAATGAAGGACATTTCAAAGTCTAAGCAAGAGATGTGAATGATTGTGGCCGTTGAGTGTGATGGAAGGTGTGATTAAAGGAAGATAGTTACCATAGTCAAGGTGACCAGGTCAGGGAAGACAGGTGATTGCTGTCTTTTCTGCTGATGTTGCTGCTAATTAGAATTATCTGGACTGATCTAGTCCAGCAACAAAGAACTGGACATATTAGAAGTGGTACATTCCAGAGGAAACTTGTGCTGTTTGAAGATGATCTGATAAACGCAAGTTTGTATTCTGCTACCCAGAGCAAGTTCATTCAAGATAACTAAGGTATTGTAGGAAGTCAAGGTAGGGAAAAAAATCAAAAGTACCCAAGAGGGTGAACTGCCTCCCCCCAGTCTTTCTGCTTAAAGAACTCCCTCCTTGGTTGGGAGCAATTCTTTGCCTGAAAGAAGCATGAAGTGCACTCTATCAAATCTAGTCAAACCTATTGTTCACCTCCACTGTATATTCATCAGTGATATGCTCTGGGTCAAACCTGAATGGCCTAGTGGTTTAAGAACATAAGAACATAAGAGACGCCAATGTTGGATCAGGCCAAAGGCCCATCCAGTCCAACACTCTGTGTCACACAGTGGCCAGAAATACCAGTGCCATCAGGAGGTCCAGCAGTGGGGCCAGGACATTAGAAGCCCTCCCACTGTTGACCCCCCCCCCAAGCACCAAGAAGACAGAGCATCACTTGCCCCAGAGCCCCTATCTATACCTTGTGGCTAATAGCCACTGATGGACCTCTGCTCCATATGCTTATCTAATTCCCTTTTGAAGCCGTCCATGCTTGTAGCCGCCACCACTTCCTGTGTCAGTGAATTCCATGTGTTAATCACTCTTTGGGTGAAGAAGTACTTCCTTTTATCCGTTCTAACCCAACTGTTCAGCAATTTCACTCAGTGCCCACGAGTTCTTGTATTGTGAGAAAGGGAGAAAAGTACTTCTTTCTCTACCTGCTCTTTCCCATGCATAATCTTATAAACCTCAATCATCAATCAGTTGATGTATTCATTTGCCTTTGACTCCTTTGAAATAGGGGCATACAGCTATGTGATGAAATTGAGCAAGGCTGTGAGTCAGTGAATGAAGTACAAGATTTGGAGTTGGTAAAGGAGGTTTAAATCATAGTTTAGCCCTAGCTTTCTGGTGGAAGCGGTTGCCTCTGTAAAATGGGAATTGCAGTGACTTATCGTTCACACATACAAGGCACTGAAGTGGCAGAGACCTGAAAGGGAAAAATCACACTTTGGGATCTCCCTCTCTGTATATAAATATTACAGAAACCTCCCTGCACACAGAAATCAGTAAAACAATCAAAGAAAGGGATTAGAAACTTTATTTCTGCTTTTTTCTGTCTGCGTGGAGTTTATGTGAAGGAACACTCAGTTTGAATCTACCACCTTCAGTGGTGTAATTCATTTTACCAACTCATTCCTACTTCATTGCCCTGCATGTGTGAACTAGGCCATTACTTTCCAGAGTTCTGAGGATGAATAAAATATAGAGCATTAAACATTGCACACCACACAATACTGTACTTGTCTCTGCCATACCAGTTTTATTGTAGAATGTTTGCTTTTAAAATATGGAGTTTTGTCTAAATTTCTTTGATAACTACAGATACATAGGCTTGAATCAGACTAGTGTTTCTGCAGGCATAAGGATTTCCATCAGTAAAACATAAATTTATTGTTCCCCCCCATGGCAGCACAAAATGTCCCTGAAAGCCTGTTCCTTGGGAACTGATTATAGGAACAGATTTTGGGGGGTTAAGCTGCAGACCAGAAGGTCTGTAGTTTGGCAGTTAGAGACCCTAGAGCCGCACGATGTAGTGAGCTCCCGTCTCTGGCTCCAGCTTTTGCCAACCTAGCAGTTGGAAAGCAAGAAATTGCAGGTAGATAAATAGGTACCACTGCGGTGGAAAGGTAACAGTGTTCCGTGTGCCTTGGCATTTAGTCACGCTGGCCACATGACCACAGAAATGTCTTTGGACAGCGCTGGCTCTTCGGCTTGGAAACGGAGGTGAGCACCGCCCGTTAGAGTTGGATTCGACTGGCTTTCGAGCAAGGGAGACCTTTATGTTGCCGTGGAAAGGTGGGAGGTTAGAAAATCATGCTCTGAGGGTGGAATTCCTTGTGCCTGAAGAAACATTACCCTGAATCCAAGCTGTAGTCTTCCCTTGTGTCTAGTTACTACAACAGACTAAAAAGCCTCTGTATATTTTAAAGGATTTTAGGACACCTGTTTATAAAGAATGCTTTTGATGGTGGCAGCAAAAACCTATATCCAGAAGAAAAAGAAGAGTTGGTTTTTATACCCCGCTTTTCTCTACCGGGTGCCGCATGATGGAGTGAGCTCCCGTCTCTAGTTCCAGCTCCTGCCTACCTAGCAGTTTGAAAGCAAGAAATTGCAAGTAGATAAATAGGTACCACTTCGGTGGGAAGGTAACAGCGGTCTATGCGCATTGGTGTTTAGTCATGCCGGCCACATGACCACAAAAACGTCTTCGGACAGCGCTGGCTCTTCGGCTTTGAAACGGAGATGAGCACCGCAACCCTAGAGTTGGACTTGACTGGGTTTCGAGCAAGGGAACCTTTACCTTTTACCTTTCTCTACCGTAAGGCGTCTCAAAGCAGTTTATAGTGTCCTTCCCTTCCTCTCTCCATAACAGGCACCTTGTAAAGTAGTTGGGGTTGAGAGAGTTCTGAGAGACCTGTGACTGGCCCAGGGTCACCCATCAAGCTTCATGTAGAGGAGTGGGGGATTAAACTTGGTTCTCCAGATTATTCTGCCACTCTTAAACATTATATCATGCTGGCTCTGTAGTAACAATTTGTGATGTGTTACGGCTGCACTGTGAAACTGGAATACAGTGTGGTCTGCCTTCAGGTATATTGGTTATAATAAATGACAGTACTTTTTCAGGGTTAGCATGTAGTGTTTATATGCAAACCTGTGTTAACCTTTTACCTTGTGAATGATTCAGCTGTGTATGTATACAGAATTATAGTAGGGTTCAGATCAGATGCTGTTGCTTTCACATTAGTGTAGACCATGAAGTGTGAATGTTCCCAATTCCACTTTCTATTGTACAGTTCATTGTAGTGTGGTTTTAGACATGTACATACCAATCTAACACACTAGGTCACCAAACTAGGTCTGGATTTTTTCCATATTTTGAAAAAAATATAATTAGGTAGTGTTGTATAACTAGTTCCTTGTTACTACCTTAATATAGCTTGATGCTAATAATGAATGAAGGATGCATTAGCTGTTGGCCCGGTCTCACTTTCCAAAGCAGTAATATATATATATAATGCTTCCTAAATATATTAAAATATTTTTATGCTTCTCCTTTTAGATGACTTTGAATTCAAAAGTATTCATGGATGTGTCAGTCTTGCAGATACATCCACAAACGTTATTTCACTGTCTGTTCACATGTTCCTCTCTATATTAATAATTTGTGACCGAATAGAAAGTGACACCCCCTCCCCAGCTTTCATAGTCTACCTTCAGATTTTGCAACAAGCTGAATTTAAATTCCAGTTGACACAAATGTGTGTGTTCAAGTGTTCTGTGCTGCAGGAGAAATGAGAGCTGTATGCAGGCTCATTTACAAACCGATTAGAATTTAATTGCCGCTTGATGTGACTTCTGGATGCAGACATAAAGTTTCCTTACATGGTTGCCTGGAAGAGATGCGAATTTGCCTCTGGTGACCAAGGTGTGTGTAGGCGTTTTACACAAGGGTGGACTATGGTCTATCTTTATGCAGTTTGGTTAGGGATATACCTAATGTATTATGTAAACCAATCCAACCTTTCCCCCCTGCATCTTAGAGTATGTAGTAGTCTAGAAGCAGTCTCTCTCCCCCTCTTTTTAACTTGTCCATACCAACTGATGTTTTAAAGATAATCTCCTTTTCGTTGAGTAAGAGTACAGGCAGCACTTGGCTCCACATCTTTGTCCTCTGGCATACTGTGGCTGCTGCATCCTTCTGTGCCAGCCACAGTCCGTCTGCGAGTATCTCCCTGAGTGAGTGAGTGCCCCTCTTATTCCCTTCTAAAGCCAGATCTCCCTTTGTGTGTTGTAAAGAGGAGCAGTAGATTTTCCAGTTTTCAATACTTGCCTTGTCCTGTGAGCCATAGGCAGGGAAAGGCTCAGGAGGGTGAGAGCACATCATTCATGGCATGTCAAAGCATCTCAAAATAGCAGGTGATGAGAAAGGCCTCCTCTGGGTAACCGCTACCTGTCAGAGCACTTGAACCAGTGGTTTGACTTGGTATTAAAAACAGCTTCATATTTTCATGTGTCCTAAAAAAATTAAAAACTTATGCCTAAGCATTGTCCCAAATCTGGAATAAAGGGTATAGATATAGCCCCCCAAGGTTTTTAAAGTCTTATTTTCTCAGTAAGCAGCCTGAATAGCCCAGACTAGCTTGAGCTCATCAGAGCTTGGAAACTAAGAAGGGGTCGACCATGATTAGTACATGGAAGGGAGACTGCCAAGGAAAACTAGGGTTGCTATGCTGAAGAAGGCAATGACAAATGTCCTCAGCTCATCTCTTGCCTTGAAAACCCCACAAGGGGTCATCATAAATAAGTTCTTATTTCACAGTGTTACTATTACTATTGTTGTTGTTGTTGTTATTATCATTTCATTAACTGACAGCAATTAATGGTGATCTGAGAAGTGTGAACTAAGTTCCTACTGGCTTAAATTAGAATTCTGCAGCAGGCCAACAATTTTGGTATTGTTTGGTTTATAATAGAAATGCTTGAAAATACTTGGCTATTGCTAAGGCAGTGGTATTAAATGGGAATTAACCTGTCTATAATGCATTTCAATGTCTGTCTTTGCTTTCCTTTTTCAGATCTTGATCCAGATGATTGTGCATCTGGGTGTATCTTCAATGTAGACCATTCGTCATCATCTGTAAATCATCCTATTTGTATCCCATGTCATGGATTTCAATCACACCCTTCTCCTTTGTCTTCACCTACTAGACTTCACAGTCATAAAGGTTATGAAGGATCATGTGAAATACCAGAATCTAAATACAGTCCACTAGGTGGTCCTAAGCCCTTTGAGTGTCCTAGTATTCAGATTACATCTATCTCTCCTAACTGTCATCAAGGAATAGAAGCCAGTGAAAATGAATTGCACACAAATGGCCCTCAAAATGAATATATGGACAGGCCTTCGAGGGACCACTTATACCTTCCCCTTGAGCCATCTTACAGGGACTCGTCCCTCAGCCCAAGTCCTGCCAGCAGCATTTCCTCTCGGAGCTGGTTCTCAGATGCCTCCTCCTGTGAGTCAGTCTCTCACATTTATGACGACGTGGATTCAGAGCTGAATGAAGCTGCCGCTCGATTTACCCTTGGGTCACCTTTGGCGTCTCCTGGAGGTTCTCCGAGGGGCTGTCTGTTAGATGAACCTTGGCAGCCATCTTATGGCTTTGGTCATGCCTTGTCACCCAGACAATCTCCTTGTCATTCTCCTAGGACTAGTATCACAGATGAAAATTGGCTTAGCCCTAGGCCGACTTCAAGACCATCATCAAGGCCGACGTCGCCATGTGGAAAGCGGCGACATTCTAGTGCTGAGATCTGTTATGCTGGTTCACTTTCTCCTCATCATTCTCCAACCCCATCCCCAGGTCACTCTCCTAGGGGGAGCATAACAGAAGACACATGGCTAAATTCTTCCCTCCATGGTCTGACAGCTGGCCTTTCACCATTTCAATGTTGTCCAGAGACTGACATCCCTCTTAAAACAAGAAAGACCTCTGAGGATCAAACTGCCATTATGTTGGGGAAAACAGAGTCTTGTTCTGAAGAACAGGGTAGTTTATCACCATCCCTTGAATCTGCAATAGAGGATTGCTCTGCATCTCCACACACACTGAAAAAAGATTTGCCTGGTGACCAATTTCTTTCTGTACCTTCACATTTTACCTGGAGCAAACCAAAGCCTGGCCACACTCCTATATTTCGGTAAGTGGTGTAAGGATAACAAAACAAGGTTTACTGCCTCTTGGGAGAAAGGTTTCATGTGTATATGTGTATGCATACTGTAATATGCTGAGTTACATTAGACAATTGTATTCCTAAAGGTATTTTGCAGTAAACATGTCACTTAATGTTTGCTGAATCTTATCGATTATACAGCCATTTAAATTGCTTCTTAAATAGTCTGTAATTCTTTACTTATTCTGTACAGAGACAAGTCATGTGGTAACAACACTGTGTACATGTCAGTCACAGTGCCCAGACGGTCTCAGCTACCTAAATTCAACTAAAAGTAAAACGTGAAGCTGGGACTCTCTAGCTAACCATTATCTTGTAAGCATAGATATTAAACTGGTATGAATTAGTAATCAGTCAACTTCTATACTTCTGAAGGCCAAGGATTTTCAAGGATTAAAGTGTTGTACAGCAAATGGTTTAACTAATCTGCTAATGTAGATTTCTGTCTCCCAAGTTCTGGTATAGTTTCATGGTGATATGCACATTCTCACCATCTTGGTAGACTGCTGAATTTTTCTAACACTTAAAATGTTAACATGTCCCTGTAAGTTTTCCAGTCTGAAGTTTTGTAATGGTTGACAGGGACCTGTAATAGTTAGGGAGATATTCCTAGATATTTTTATACCAAAACAAGTTCAGTTGCTGAAATAATACCAATACAGTAAAGGTTGTTTATCCAACAGATCACAAGTCTTTTTCCATTAAAAATATAACTGGATACTTTTCTAGGGTAGATATTGAGTCAAAATTGGTAGTCATTAATTGCATCCTCTGAAACTTTTCTAAACCAAAACTCTTATTGTCCATGAAGTCTGAATATGAGGTAGGATAAGAAGCCACAGTTTGAATTTAAGTCAGAGTAAATGAGTCTGTGAGCTCTCACTGGGATGTGTAGGGTCAGTCACCCCAATCCTAAAATAGTACATGAACACTTCTTTAAAACCTAAAGCTGTCTCACTGGAGTCTTAGTGTGTGTGTGTGTGAGGTCTGATAAGCTAACAGTTAATGCTTGGGGTGCTGCTTAATATTTTCTTAGTTTTAGTAAATGGTAGGTGAGGCTGATAACTATGGGCATTGTGTGCAGGCATGCCTGGTATTGCTGTCATTTGGGGCAGGCCCTATTATCCTCTTCTTTCTTCTCCACATATCCTCAGTTGCAGGGTTCCAAGTCTGGTGTATCGAGGTGTGTGTGTGTGGGGTGCATAGTTGGACCACTCTAGAGTACTCTTGGTGGAAAAGGCTCATAATCCCTGCTAGCAGCTGGCTTTTACAACTTGGTAGGGGGCAAGAGTGTGACATTTTCATGGAGTGTATTATTGTAGTTAACAATCAACGCTGCACCTCAATAAAGTTTCATGGATTTGCCTGACTGATTTCAGGTACTGGATATCTCAGTCAGATCCATTTTCATATTACGAAGTCCATTGGGGAGTTGCCAAAATTTATGTCTGAAAAGACATAAGTTTTTTTCTTTAGTTATAAAACGTGTTCACTGTGCAGACAGTTGTTTTGCTTAATAAAGAAAGCAAGTTACTATGTTCCATTGAGCTTCAGATGTGAAAAGAAAATTTCAAAACCACAGAACTTTTATGGGTAAGAGGTCCAAGATTAAAAAAAAAAAGAATACTTTACCTGTAAGGCTAGCATAGTTCAGTAGGAAAGTTGAGGTAGCCATTAAAATAAGATTCCTTTTGTAACAGTGTTGATCACAAACAACTGGAAAAGAACAAAGCAAAAACCCCTATTCATATTGGATATACCTTAAGGCAAACCAAGAAGGAATCTGAAGAGCAAATGGCAAGCAGTATATAGAAATGAATTTAATTAAATACCAAAAAAAAAAAGGCGTTGAGGCTGTGAACTGTAGGTGTAAAAAAGAGCGCTAAAGGGCAGATGCAGAAATGAGTCCTTTGTACCTTTATTGGCAGGCATAGTATTTGAGAGATACCCATACCTGCACCCCCCCCTAAACTTGCTTGGGCTGCTCCTGTGCATCCCACTTGCTGGTTACCACTCCCCTGCCAGCTTCTCTGTCTCACCACCACTGCCAGCCATCTTCCAAAGTAGAACACAGGATCTAACTATTGTTTCCGGTGCACGTTCTTTGAGTCCTACTTCCATGCTGTCAAAGCACATTACTGCTACTGTGGTGGTGTGCTGCATGTCATTTCTCTGATTACAAGAAGCTCTATGCTGGAGTCATCTCCTTTCTTTTCTGTTCAGGCCCTTCTGCACAAATCTGTTCTGCTGCAGTAGTTTTCCTACATTGGTGACAAGGCACCTACAGGCCTTTGTTACCAGCACTGCTCCCTACCTCTTGCATTATAAGTGGCTTTATAATCCTGCTTATGTGGCATGTCTTTTCAAATACAGTTGTAGTAATATACCAGCTGCCATGTTTAGAAACCAGAACTTCCATGAAGATGCTTGTGAGGATGGTAACTCTGTGGAAAACCTGAGTTCTATAAATATATCTGATCTAGATATAATCCCAAATAAGGACACCACTATAGCAAATGCTTACAAGGCAATTCAGCCAAGTGACCTTGGCAGGCCCTTTGTAGATATAATATAGTTATTTCCTGCTGCTACTTGTACTGACATGACCAAGAGCCTTCTTTTAGGATACTGGCTCTTCTAAGCTGGAGGAAGCTTAGTCGAACCTCTCTTGATATAGCTGGTGGCTTACGTTAGGGTGAAACGAATCACTACTGCCACATGGGCTATGCCTGTGGGGAATGGAATTACATATGTATGGAGGCTCCTGGTATGTGGGGCTCATTTCCCCTTCCCTTTGCACATGTTGTTGTGTTTCTGTTAAATACAGTTGCTATCCAAATTAGACAGGTAGTCTGATAATTTAGGGCTTCCCATTCCAGTTTGCAAGAAGGTAAACTGATTTCCAGTATTCAGGATCAGTTAACTGAGTATATTGTGATCTAGTCCTCACCAACTGGATATATTGGCAAGCTCATTAACCCAGTAATGGCTTAAATTTATTTATTTATAAATTTATCTTTCCTTGCCTCAAGGCAGCTTTTAAAATACAGACAATAAGCACATAAAAACTCAATATGTAAAACATTACCACTTATTATTCTCTAAAAATTCTTCACTAGTTCCAAACAAACGTAAACTCTCAGAATTTGCCCAGAAAATCAGCAGTCTTCAATAAGGCCTTTCATGATTTGTGACTCATATATTTAAAGTGGAATAGGCCAGACTAGCCATCAGGGCTCAGAAGTTAAACATGGTCAGCCATGGTTAGTCACCTGGTCACCAAGGAAGACTGGGGTTGCTATGTACCGGTAGGCAATGGCAAAACCACCTCTGCTCATCTCTTGCCTTGAAAACCCCATAATGGATAACTATAAGTCAGTTGTGACTTGATGGTGCTTATATTTAAAGCCCGTCATGATCAGTCCCATAGGGGGCATTGGAGTCCTCATCCATTGCAAGGTGTTTTATCGTTTTCCAATAAAATCTATCTTTATTTTAAACATTAGAGTTGTTAGTACTCATTTGTTAAATGGAATTGGAACTTCCTCAAGAATAAGAAGATACTTTCCAGATCAAGGTTTTTATATATTTTACAGCTCTGTGTGCTGGTTCATGTTTCCATTTCGTTTGTAGAGCTGTGACAGATATTTTACTTGCTCCACTACATTGATTTAGAGCTGGTCCTTGTTTATGCTGGCCCAGACTGTGCATCACCCTTGCAGAAAAATGGATTTGTTGTCCATACTCTAAAAATTTGATAATTATTCTTTAAAAAAAAGAGGATTCAGTGAGTGTTGTCAGCATAATCCTGGAACAGGATAGACCAGACTTCAACCTTTCTGGCAAGAATTTATTTTGATATTGTCTAAATGATACTTTTTTATCATGCAGTACATAGCCTCTGTAAATTTTGGGGAGTGTGCCCTAATACCTGCCTCTAGAATGCTCTCCAGTGGTAGTAGTTCCCTGACGTTAAGAGCTTGGAAACCATTATACTTACTAAACATTGCATATAAGCTCTGAATTGGGTATTTTCTCTGTTTCTTTGTGAGTCTTTTGGTGTTCTGGGTCTAGGGCCTTATCCTCCACCCAAAGGAGAAAATGGGGGGGGGGCATATTGCTAACAAGGAGGTTCTGAAAGCTTGAAGAATTGTGTTCATGTATACTTGACCTACATGTAATGGACGCTTTCATTCTGAAACCGCCCACTACCACTTCACCACTTCAAGGGTATGTTGTAAAGTAGAGGTGTTGAACTCATTTGTTACGAAGGCTGGATCTGACATAAATGTGTCATAAAATGTAATGCTAGGTACCATGTGTGTCATAAAATGTAATGCTAGGTACCAGAGATATAAACGGTGTAAAGGATAATAGCTGATATGCTCCAAGTTGGCCCCATGGGCTGGGAGGGGGGTGCAAAGGAAAACCCATATGGGTGGACTGGAGAGCCAGTGGTGCAGTACTGGGCAGATGCCCCCACGCTGCTTGTCTACTGCAGACAAGTTTGTTCTACCATGCTGAAGCCACAATCGGAATGGCTCTGCCCCCCTGCCCCCAAGCAGTCTCCTGTTCCATCCCCTGCACTAGTTGCTTGTGGGCCACATAAGAGCCCTGGATGGGCTGGTTCCGGCCTCCGGGCCTTATGTTTGATACCCCTGTTGTAAAGGCTTGAACGTTCTCAGTGTGGCTGCTTCCACTCAGCCTTGGTTGAGGTGTCTGGGTTCTGCCTCCCAGTGAAATTGCTGAATTTTCTTTGAGGTTCTCTTGTCTCTCTCTCTTTCCTCCCCCAGGAAAACATATAAAGAATTCCCTTCTTGCATGTCAAGATAAATCTTTCTATTCTTGATCTGTGTGACAGAAAAAGGGAGTGCGCTATAATGCCTGCCAGATTTTCTTTCTCCTTTATCAGTAAGGAGTTACTGTAAGGCCTTACTACTTAGCATTTGGTCACTGGCCCATCAAATCTGTTTTTTTTTTAAGTTAACCCTAATTTTGAATTAGCAGTTCAAAGATCCTTTAATCCTCGTGGGGTTATCATTCAAAGATATGGCAACTCTGCCTGTAAGGAAATAAAGTAGAACAAACATTTTAATACCAGAGCTGTTTTTGATTACATTCTCACTAATAGTCTGGCTAATTTATATTACTGCTTTATGTAAACATAGCCTTCAAATATATTTATTGACCTGGGGATAAGTACTCACATAAGCTAAGCAAGTACCTTTGAAGTCCTTAACTTTAGAAAACGAAACCATTCAAAGTTGGCACACCATATAATGGCTCTTTTTAAAGTACAGATACATTTAAGAAGTTAATTGATTGCAGGTGCCTGTTTGCCCTGGTTTGCTCTGGTTTCCAGCTGTGTAGCCGTGGTAAACATTTTAATATTCAAAGTATTGGTGTCTCAGCCTCAAAATGTGCAGATACTAATTTTCCTAGGTTCCTATTGAACTGTAGCCAGCTCATGTAGAAAGGCTGTTCTTATCCCTCTGGTTACTAGGCGAACTTGAATAAAAATTCCATTTCTAAGTCCCAAATATAACTCTTGCAACTGATTCTTAGTTATGTAGCAAGTGGGGTCAGAGAAAACGACAGACAATCCTTAAAGGAACAGAATGGGACTAACAGTTGAAAATCCCATTTGCTGCTTTGTGCATACGTTTCACACAGCTGCTACTGTTTGGCTAAGAGCAGCTGGCCACCTTTTCTGACAGGCTGTTTGACAAAGGACCAGTTCTAGCTTGAGTTTAACAAGTATGGTGGAGTTCTTCAGTTTCTGGCAAGAGTACCTCTTCCAGCAGGTAGCCTGGCTTCTGAAGTTTGATCTCTTGACTGGGGAGAACATTTTGTGGTAGATTATTCTGCCTTCCAGGCACTTGTGTGTGGGAGCAGTGGATGCTTTTTACAATAGTGTCGCAGTGTGTGCTCTGCCCCATGTCTGCCATTACTGTCCCGTCTGACAAGTCACTGGCAATTACTAGGAAAGTGAGTTTGGAATGTGCATGGTCTTGAAGGCACATGATGCAGCATTTTTTGCTGAGGCCAAGTAGGTCTGGCTGTGTAGGGATGGGAAGCCATGTGGGAGTCTTAATGTGTGTTGGTTTGAGCTTTTTGGTGGGGAGGCATGGATAGAAATGAAATTTCAGGACTGCCATTAAGATTTGCTGTACGAGTCGAGCCTGCAATTAATTGTTTTACACTGAGAAAGAGCACAATGGTTGAAAAACACGGCAAACATCAAAATGCCTGGGTAAAGAGAGATACTTTGGCCTGGCATCTAAAAGACAATAAAGTGGGTGCCAGGCAAGCCTCTGGTGAGAGCGGCCTCCCAAACGTGCAGTGCCACCACGGTAAAAGGTGCTACTGATGAGAACACAGAATTCAGGGCTTTGGGGGGGGGGGAGGAGAAGCTTAACTGGTACACTGGACAGTTTTGAACTACTTTCCCTTCCAAGTTAACTCCCGATGTATCTTGTAAGCGAGCAAGTCCGTCATTTATTGTGGCCTGACAAGGGGGAGAGTGATGGAGAAGGGGAAAATGATGCTTTAAGCCGCTTTGGATCCCATTGGAGAGGAAAGTAGGGTATAAATATCTAAATAAATATTGGCTTGCTTCAGCCTCTACACCTTTCTTTTTTTAAAAAACTTATCTGTGTCTAAAGCTGGCATTCCTCTTGGCACTTCTGCAAGTTAAATGGCATTCATACTACTCCATGTACATTCTTTGTAATGTAGAGGAGAAAACAGTGAATGGTGTTAATATACAATTAATAAAGCAGCTGTTTCTGGTATGCAAATACCTCTCATTCCATGCCTGTCCTGTTGACCAAGCAAACAGGAACAAATCAAGAGCTGTCTTATATTTGAAAGTCAGTCTGGTGTAGTGGTTAGAGTGTTGGATGAATCTCCTTGCTGCCATGGAGGCTTCCTTGGTGGTCTTGGTCCAGTCACACGCACTCAGCCTGACCTACCTCATAGGATTGTTCTGAGGATAAAATGGAGAACTGTGTAAGCCACTTGGGGTCCCCATTGGAAAGAAAGGTGGGTTATAAATTAAGTTAAATATTTGATGCTTTCACTAAGATGAGCAGGCATGCACACACTCCATCCATTCCATTGCAGGCCAGGTAAGCAGCTAGGAAATTCAGTTCCTTGATCTTACATTTTTGAGAGAGTCATGTTTCTTGTTGGTGTTTCAACTCCGTCCTAAATATGGAGGAAGAGTGGGTGGCCATGTAGCTCGGTCCCATGATTGGGCAGCAACTGAGTGACTTCACATTTTCTGGAACAGAACGGTGGTAACTACGTTGTTTTATTGGGGGAACACTGTTAGGTAGGTTGAAGTAATCCACAAAATGACCAAAAACCAGCACTGTGCTTTTTTCCAATTAGACATCAAGGCATCAATCTTGCTCAGAGTATTGTTGATGATTGCAAGCTGTAGTTTGAGGTTATGTTAATGGTCTGCAGGTATGTTTATGATCTGGAGAAAGACTTGGGCATTCTCTGTACAGCTGCCTGTGAGTCTTGACTTCAGATATGTAAACACTGTAGCCCAGTACTGAACATTTTAGAATAATACAAATGTTTGCTGAAGAGAAAAAGCACCAGTATATTTCTTGACTTTGTAGTCTACTTCCTTAAATAACTGTGTTAGAGTAAGATAGTTTTAATTGTTATAGCAGATAAGAATTATGGTTCCAATTGCAACTGCAGGCTATGTATGAGAGTTTAAACTTTATTGAGTAATGTTTAGTAATAACTTTGCCCTGACCTAGATAGCCCAGGCTAACCCGATGTTGTCAGGTTTCAGAAACGAAGCAGAGTCAGGGCCCTGATTAGTATTTGGATGAGAATACCAGGGTCACTATGCAGAGGCAGGCATGGCAAACCATCTCTGAATGTCCATTGCCTTGAAAACCCTATGGGGCTGCAAGTCAGCTGTGACTTGATGGCAAAAAAAGAAACCATGTATAACTTTCTGTCATGTAAGGCTGATCTTCCTAGACTTATACCTTGCTTTGACAACAAAGTCAAAACAATGCCCTTTTTATTTATAAAATGTGTATCTTTCCTTTAGTAATAACGCAGTGTGGCTTCTGACACTGTTCCCTAAAACAATCCCTAAAACAAATCACCCAATAAAGTGCAATAACAGTAGAAGATATGAAACAAATAACTTGTTGTTGACCAAGTAAAGCTGTCTCCCCAAATCTTGTCTAAATAAAAATATTTTTACATTACTTCTGAAAGATTGCAGTGTTGGGCTTCAAAAGGCTCTTTTGGAAAGGAGTTCTTTAGATGGGTGCTAAAATAAAACATTGCTTTGCATTCTTACATTTTAGATTTTACTACTTGAAGTAGTCATATCTAGAACAAGACCTCTCCCACAAAGGTTAGTGGGACCTCATGTATGAGGAAGCGCTAGACCGAGGATCATTATGGCTTTGTTAAGGTTGTATTGACTTGGTCGCTTTCTTTACAAGATACTTGAATCATCAAACAAAATTAATATGTAACTAATTTGTTTTTATTTATTTACTTTATAGCCTGCCTTTTTTTGCTGAGACTCAAGGCAGATCACACAGTATAACAATGTAATCAGACAGTATAAGACATCCAATAAACAATGCAGCAGGACCGGGTTACAAAAGTTGGAAAAAAACACAAAAAGGGAAAAATCATAAAAATAGAAAAATGTATCAGGCATAATGTAAACAAAGCAACAATAATGGAATAACAGAAGTAGAAGATAGCATAGGAAAAGCAAGGTGAACCTTGAAATAAACTGCAGTCACATTCCTTTTATACAGACTATTTTACACAATAGTCTGTAAGGTGATAGAAGTATAGGAGCCTTCCTGACTTCCTCAGGCAGGCCATTCCATAGAGCGGGAGCCATAACAGAGAATGCACGTGTGTCGGCAGCTGTTGATCTTACCTGTTGGTATAGTGGTCACCTTTGCTGTGAAACCATAAAAATTAGCTTTTTAAAATGTGTAATTTAATGAATTTTCATGGGAGCCTGAGTGATTATGCCTGCAGTTATAGCCAGTAGCAAGTAAGATAAGTTTTGCTGTGCTACTTAATCTACTCATGACTGGTACAGGGATGGGTGGGGGAAGTGACACTGATAGAATGAAATAAAAATGCAGGCTGCCACTCTGTATAGTGTTCTTAACCCAAGCCAGTATTCGACAGCATCGGACAGCTTCAGTAGACCAGCCTGCCAACCCTAGGTAAGGGCTGTTCAGGAACTCTTGAAGCTGTTCCTGTGTCTGAGAGATTTATGTCTGCAGTGGAGGTCACTTCTACAGCAAACCTTTGGGCAAATTTTTGGGTACGGTACTGTGACTTGGCTCCTGTACTCTTGTTTCACTTGAGGTAGAAAGAGTGCAGTGTCTACTGATTCAGTCTTCCCCCTGGAGCTCCCCCCATTTTGACCTGTATGATGTTCCTGGGGGTCCATTGACCCATGGGGGCACAAGGCTGCAGGGGGTGGGGGATGGACAATTTTCCTTCATCTTGTGCAGCTGCACTAATGCTGCCTAGGAGCCAAGCCTCTTGTTTCCACATGCAGAGAATATCCTATGTAAATTGGCAAGTGCCTTATAATCGTTTACACTTTTTTTTTGGGGGGGGGTGAACACTCTGGTTCTCAGTTTCTTCATCTATTTGGCTAGTACTCTGGTTTCTTTCCTAATTTCACTGAAATCTGTGCGCTTCTTGTTTTTAGCACATCTTCGTTGCCTCCCCTAGACTGGCCTTTGCCTGCTCAATATGGACAGTGTGAACTGAAAATAGAAGTGCAACCAAAAACTCATCACAGAGCACATTATGAAACAGAAGGCAGCAGAGGAGCTGTGAAAGCATCCACGGGTGGGCATCCTGTAGTGAAGGTAAGCAGTGCTGATGAATGCCTTTTTATCTGAATTACCACAGCCCCCCCTTTCCTGTTTCTCCTGAATCCTGTAGACAAGGTTATCTCCAAGAACAACAGAGAATGCTTTCCCCAGGTACTAGAAAAGCCTTATAATTCAGCATCGTCCTGACCATGTGTGGCCAGTAGTGCTTGCTGTCAAGGGATCAGGCACATCTCTACTGTTGCCATATTGATTCTTACATAGTTTAAATAAATAGAACTGTACATGTTCAGCATTATGGGACTGCCTGTCTAACTTCCATGTTTTCTAAAAGCTAGAGCGTCTTTAAGCTGTAAAGAGTAATGACACTGCCAGACACTTAGCTTTCAAATAACTGCAGGTCTGTTTGTTTGAAATGAGAAGCGCATGATTTAAGCACTTGTGCCCTATTAAAATCCGATGGGGCTTTAGCTTGTACTTTCGTTTACCAGGGAAACGTTGGGAAATTAAAAAAAAAACCAGCATCAAGTCTGAACTCGCTGAGACTGAGAGAGAAAAAGATCTTGGGGTTTTAGTAGAGTAGATAACTTCAGTGAAGGTATCAACCCAGTGTGCTGCAGCAGTGAAAAAGGCAAACTGTGTGTGTGGGATTATTAGGAAAGGGATTGAAAATGAAATGGCCTGTATTATAATGCCCCTGTGTAGATGTGTGGGCAGCCTCATTTGGAATCCCATGTGGAGTTCTGGTCACTGTATCCCAAAAAGGACATTGCAGAGCTGTTAAAAACACAGAAGAGGGTTAACCAAGATGACTGGGGGCTGGAGCACCTTCCCTATGAGGAAAGGCTGAAGAGTGCGATTTTTCAGTTTAGAGAAGATACAACTAAGAGGGGACATGATAGAGGTTTATAAACTTATGGGGTGGACAGAGAACTTTCCCTTCCTCTCGCAGAATACTAGATTCAGGATGGACAAAAGGAAATGCTTTACACAGCAAGTGGTTAAAATGTGGACTTTGCTGCCAGAGGAAGTAGTGATGGCTAGAGGCATAGGTGGGTTTAAAAGGGGATTAGACAGATTCATGGAGGATAGGTATATCAGTGGCTACTAGCCATGGTGACTAAAGGGGACCTTCATGTTCACAGTTAGTAAACCTCTGAATCCCAGTGCCAGAAGTCAGCATCAGAGGAAGGTCTTGGCTTCTGTGCCCTGTTGTTATACCCCCAGAGGAGTTAGTTGTCCATTGTGTGGGGCAGGATGCTGGACTAGATGGACCATTGGTCTGATCCAGCAGGTCTCTTCTTATGTTCTTTGGGAAAAACTTCTTTGGACAATGCTAGTGGGCATTGAGTCTCATTGGTAATTGTCCAGCAATAGAATACTTTTTGGCTATTTTGTGCAGGAGGGACAGCTTGTACTCACCATGTTTGTTTCCATTATGGTGGCTTCACAGTGCTCCTTGGATAGGGACACCAGAGTACAAAATCATCGAGCATGAAAATTTGGGTCAGAATCCATTTCAAGTTCTTTGAAGGGGGGCCTGGGGAAGAATTGGGACCTTGCTTCTAGCTAGCTTAAAGGGGAAATGCTGGGTTCTATATGTGCATATTCTTTACGCTTGATGGACTGTGTATATTTTGTACTTGGGGGTACTTACTCTAAAGGTCACTTAATGCTCGATCTGGGACTCTTCTGCGGGGTAGGGCAGAGGACACCAAGAAAGGAACCTGTCCACCATACCAGGTAATTTCATGTTGGGCAGTTACTAGGACAGAGTTGCCATCAGCACTCTCAAAATCGCCCAGAACGCTCTGGAAGTCAAGTGGATTTTCCCATGGTGCTTTTTGCTGAGATTTGGGATGAAGTGAGCAGGGTGATCTCCTAGCCACAGGGTATTTTACCCACATACCCCTTCCCTGTGATACATAGTGAAGGTTGGGGGTTGTGTTGCAGGATGTGTAACATATGCCCTTCAGACTGCTATAAGATATTAGGAGCTTGAACAGGTTGGTCTCATTTAATCTTCACTTTGTTCGCCCATTTTCCTTTCCTTTTATTATTTTTTAAATCTTAAACTGATATGCATTTTCCTCTGCATTCTTCAGCTTCCTGCTGGTCATGCACATCTTCAGTCCTTGTCAAGCCACTGTGGGGAGAATGGGACTTGCTGTTCTCTTTTAACTTACAAATTTATATTTTTCTGCACTTTTGGGGCGGGGCACTTCTGTGCATGGCCCTGTTTTGCTGCCCTATGGTTAGAGACAAGACCATGAGGTCTCCGCCCTGCTTCCGGCTTGCAGCTCATTCTACCACCTTCCTGCATATATAGGTTAGAGTTAAGCTTTAGCACTTGGTGTATGCTTGATGAATAGCTCTGGAAGGATGGCTCTGTGTGTGTGTGTGTGTGTGTAGCTCCTTGCTTCTGTGGTATGGGACATGTGCTTTGTGATATATTTTCAATGGTAGATTTTAAAATCTCTTTGGGGAGAAGCCGTGATGGAATGGCAGTGGCTTGTCCATCCATAGTCTGCTCCAGTCCCCCACTCTGACTGGGAAGTAGCTGATGATGTCTACACTAGTTGTCCACTGCCATCTGATGAAGAGCAAAGAGGCTAGATGACCTTTGGTCCATGCAACTGTACTGCCTAGACCAGAGCAGTCGTCCTCACCAAGTAGGTGCCTTGGTAATCATACCATCTTCTTCTCCCCCTCCTCCTTCTCTCCCTCCCACTGAATGCAATTTTGGGGCAACAAGGCTGGTGTATGAGACTTGCAGCATTATTTGTATTGCACTGTCTGTTGTGTACTTATAGAGTCAATGTGTCTGAACCATGCTATTGTCTCTTGTGTTTCAATAATGGAATTGATTATTTGGACGGCTCTTGCAGTTCTCAGTTGCAAGGGAGGCAGCCTTCAAAAGCAGCCTCTGTAAACCAGCCCTTCATGCCGCTTGCCAAAAGTGTAGTTGTGTACAGCTAGGATTATTGAACTGACTTTGCATGGACTGATAGTTTACAAGGGCTTGTTCTGCTTTACAGTGGCTGTCGGAGCCTGTTAAATTTTGTGATGCGAGATTAATAGAAACCTAATCACCATGTACTGAATTTTTGCAGAGTAACACAGCAGTAAGTCTGAAAAATGGGCTGCGAACAGTCTTATTCTTGTGATGAGCTAGCTCTTGCAGGTTTTTGTGCATGACCAGTGTAAAGAGAGATTACCCAGAATTACTTCAATCACCAATAGCATGTAGGGTTTCATACAGCACACAGAGTTGATACAGACTCCTGTCCAGAAGTTTTAGCCAGAAGCATATGAAGGTATTATTGAGGTATTGACAGACTCACTCGTGAAGCACGCTTGAGCCGATCAGTCTTGCCTAAACTAATACACAAGATTGTTGTCAACCATTTCATAGTTTACGCAGCAGTCAAGCTACACTGGTGTCTGCTGCCGTAACTGCATCAAATGAGAACGAAAGGCACCTGTCTTTGCACACTCAGGGATATGCATCGACCGGTCAGCTCCTCATGCTTGACTAGTTTACTACAGTAAACATGGTTGTCACCCAGTCATGACTTTTGTTTCATTTGGTACAGTTTTAAATAAAACATGGCAAAAGATGATTCCTTGCCTGTTTATGTCATTATTAAAACTGAACCTTCTGTATTTATAACTCAAGCTGTTGTTCATGCTCTAGTCATTTCTGGGCTTGATTATTCTTTTTCGTGCTGGTGGTCTCTGTGATCCTATTTTGTATCCTTCTAAGACAAGTGGAGATGCTATGGTGAGACATGTGTCAGCCCATCCATGAGTTCTCCCACTCTTTTGGTTTTCTCAGCTTTTCTTTCTCTCTCTGCAGTCTGATCTACTGCTGTTGCTGTTCTTATTTGATTTGCACCCCTGGCTACCATATGCATGCAATGGTAGTCTTAGCATCCGTAAGTATTTAGAATTTGGCACTTAATTATCAAATCTCAAGCCTGATAGCTAAGGGGCTTGAAAGAGAATTGATGAGGTGGTAGTGATGGAGATGTTGCCGTGGTTTAATATTGAAGCCTAATGTTGAATGTTAATTTGCCTTTTATAGGCCTCTGTTGGGTATCCTGGGATGTGAAAGCAAACCTTTTAAAAGGCTTCATGGCTGTCCTGTGTCTTGGTGGTTAATTTTAAAAGGAGCAGTTTCTCTAAGTTAGCTTGTGTCTTTTCTGCCTTAAAAACTGGATCTGAAAAGACATTCTAGATTGAAAAACGCTAAAGATTTATTTTGGCTAAAAAACGTTGGCCTTTTTTTGTGACAGTGTGAACATTTGGCTTTGCAGGTGCCTTTCTGCCACACACCTGCTCTTTGCTAGCGGTAGGCTTATCATGATTGTGTGGGTTAACAGGGGGGCAATTCTACTTTGTTGTCTGTAGATGGACAAAGTCGCCTCCTGCTCCCTTGTAACCCTCTGATATCCCAATAAAAACAATGAGAGACTCGCCAAGGTGGTATACATCAAGTTCCCCTGGTACCTCTCCTTTCTGGTGGTTATGGATTGATTTGCCTTCAAGGCAAATAAACGAAGTGTTCTCTGAATTGTTTGATGAACAACGGATCGAGATTGCCTCTTGGATGGATATTGTGTCTTGGGCACACAGCTGATTAGGGAGCTGCTTTTGGAGGGTGTGTGCCAGCCTGCTGACACCACAGGCTCGGGCACCTGAACATGATTAGGTCTCTAGGTAAGCTAAGCTTGTAGGGACAGTGTGCTTTGCACTTTTCAGAAACATTTGTCATATTCTAATGAGCATACTGGCTTCTCTACAACCACACTCAGAAGTGGAGTTGTGATTGGGGATGCCACTAGGCACTGGCTAAGGTAGCAAGAAGGCTTCCAGATCCTGTCCCAACAAACAGAGTACCTATTTTGTGAGCCACTCTGCTTACGAGAGGCCAGCTAATTCTATTGAAGGATTTGTCCCTTGCATCTCTTGTCTGTTATACTCCTGCCCTGATGCATATGGGCAGTGAAAAGCAGCACATTACTTGCAAAATG